TGGTACAAGATGAGTTATCTGAACTAGAAATGCCAGATGAAATGAAATCAGACAAAAAGTTCAAAGAAGTATTTAAACCCGAAGGTTGGGAAGGACTTGGAGATGAAATTGAATTACCTGAAGAATTAACCGAAGAGAAATTACAACCAATATTAAAGAAATTGTCATTAATGGGACAAGAAACGCAAAATTCTTCCACAGGGTGGGGTTGGAATAATTGGGGTGTAAGTTCATTAATAAATACAGCAACAGTTGGAGTTTCTGCATTAACTAGTCATGTATCGCATGGACTTACACTTTTAGAAGAAACTATTGCTATAGCAGAGGAACCTAAAATGAATGAAATAGAAGACAAAGAAAGTTCTGCGATCAAAGGTAAGGCATTTTTTTCATAAAAATATCACTCAATTAAATTTTTCAGATAGAAGATATCGAAACATCTGTATATACAATACAAAACATAATTTTTTATAGAAATAAATACAATATCTTTATTTACTAAAAAGTTATTAAAGAAACTTTATTTGCTACACGATAATACTTGAAAATAATATTTATCATTATATAGAAGAAATATTAGTTCTATTATTTCATATAAGGATATTTATTAGAGAGAAATTTTCTGTATAAAATTTTTATTCCTTTGTGTAATGATAAGTCTTGTTTCAAATATTTTTATGTAGTAAATAAAGTTAAAGCTTTTTAATAACCAAAAATTTTTAATAATTCATACAAATTTTAAAAGTTATCAAAATATCTGCCCCTATGATGGTATATTTTTATAAACAGAATGGCTAAATCTACCAGTATGTAAAGTTTTAACTAACTCAGTGATTCAAAGGTCTTGCATTCTTCTTGCAAGGTACATAATGTATAAATAGCACTTTTAAAAAGATTTCAGTATTTATTGAATTTTGTATATTATACATTTGTATTATGAACTTTAGTTCCAGATCATAACACAGAAGAGCAATCTGAGCAATATTCTTCATTTGGATTCGGAAACCTTATCTCAGGTGTTTCTTCAATCACAAAGTTAGTTGAATCAACTGGAAGTAAAGTTATGTCTGGTGGATTAGATACATTAGAAGCTATTGGTAAAAAAACAATGGAAGTATTACAAGAAGGTGATCCAGGTTTAAAGAAGAAGAGAGCTATTTTTATAAATGAAGCAGAAAAGCCAATCTTGTCACAAGTTCTTAGAGAAGCTAAAGAAAAAGCAGAAACTGTTGAAAGAACAATAGAAGAAAAACAAAAAATGAGAAAAATACATTTTGAAAGCCTATTCGATGATTATCAAGGTCTTGTTCATTTAGAAGCACTTGAAATGTTGTCAAAACAAAGTAATATTAAAATACAACAGCATTTGACTAACTTAAATACTACTGAATTGACTTCTGTTCAAGAAACATTAGAAGATGTTAAAGAATTATGTGATATAGGAGAAAATGATGAAAAAGAAGGTGAAATAAATGATTTGAAATTCAAGCTACAGGAAATTTGCAATGATCTTGGAGTTAATATTACATACGAAAAATTACATAATGTAAGTAATGAACATATTAATATGTACAAGGTGATCCTAAATTAGATGACATAACAACAAGGGTGTAATTCACTTTGATGGATAGAGATGTAAGGAAGGGTTCGGAAAATTTATTTTGACAACAAGGTCGAAATTTTGTATTGCTGCATTGTATTCTACTCATCGCGAAGGTAAATAGTCTAAAAGGAACCTCGGTTGGAAATAAATCATTTGTTTGCAAACTGCTATTGAAGAATAGCAATTAATCAAGATAGCGAGTGCAATCATTGTGTTCTGCTTCTGTGCAAAGTAACAAAATGTGACGCAATTTGTTCATGGATCTGAATAGACGAATCGATCGATAAATAATGTCGTCCACAGTTTCCCAAAGGATGAAGTCTAACGACCAGTCGTGTAACAAAAAAGGGCACTGGATATCGTGCTTCTTTAAAAAAAAAAATTATTTTTATTTTTATTTACGATCTATAGTTCCTTTCAGACTATTTACCTCAGCGACCAGTAGAATATGATGCAGCAATAATAGAATTTTCGCCTTTTTTCAAGGTCAAAGTAAATTTTTCTGACCTTTCCTTACATATATCTCCTTTAAATTAAAGATGTTGAATCACATTCTAGTAAACTATAACATCTGATTTAGGGTCACCCTGTACATACATAAACTGAGTGAATCATTTAAAATCTATTTAAATCTATTCTTTTTCTAGTAACTTGTTAACACATTTTACAAAATTGATTTCTTTAGGAACAGTGTTTTCTATTAAAAAATTATTATTATTATCTCTCTTTTATTTGTACTATTAATTTGGTAATATACTTTATAAATTTAACTACTGATTTTAGGTATGCAAAGAATCTGAAGCCTATCTTGCATTGGCTCTGTCACGTACTGAACGAGATATACTTGAACAATTCATTTCTACTTTGGCACAATTTACTGCCTTTGCTGTAGAAAGGTTTCATAAAACTGCAGAATTACTTTTAATCAAGGAACACAGAAGCACAGTTAATGAAGCTGATGCACTAGTTCAATTAACACATGCTCTTTCTAATCAAATCAGAATATTAGCCAATGCATATTATAATGCTTTGCATACGTGTTCTAAAGTTAAGGAAACATCAAACAGTATTAAAACAAATACAACAACAATCTTTACGGAGGTAAAAAGATAATCAACATTACATTTATTACTTATATAAACTTTATGTAAACATAATTTTTATATTTTTATTTTCTATGAATTGTTTTATTACAGGCTTCAAATGCAAGTACATACATTCAAGATGCTTTCAAACTTTTAATTCCCATAATACAAGTTGGTGCTATTTAATACTAAGGAAAAAGCTTCTAATAACAGTTTAATTGCAAAAAGGTAACGAATTTTTTCTAATAATTATGCACACTACTTTTGTATTTTATTTTGCTATAGGGACCAATAAAACATTATGGTTATTACTCGTAACATATACGTTCATAATATACACAATTTTAATTGAATATGAAATTGTTTTTGTGTACAAAATTTAAATAATAAAATAAAGCTATCTTATACATACCTCAGAATTATGTAATGCAATATCATCAATATTGTTTACTGTCACTAATATCACATACACAAGATATGTTTTAAAACATAAGGTATATTACAAATCAATTAAGAATTTATGTGAAAAAAATATAACTTAATATATATTTAATATGGTTGCTAAATTATAGCTGCAGGTGCATTGTTAATGAATGCATGTGATTAATGATTTCTGTGTAAAAATTTAGTTTTTGTATATTTCGTATAAAACATATCTATGTAATTAAACATATCTATGTATACTGTATTGGCTTTCAGTCATTTCAAGGCCCATCAGATTGTTTAGAATGTTTTTATAATATTATTTTAAGTATATCGTTTTTTGTCTTTTTTAATTGTAGTTTTTGTTTAAGTTCATCCTTTTATATTGACTTTTCAAAACGAGTATTACTCGAGTATCACTTTTTTGACATAAGCTTTCATTTAATCAAAATAATATATTTATGATATTATTAACATTGTCTTTTACGATTTTAAATATTCACTGCAATTAAAATATTACAATATTTCAGCATTTTATTTATGTTTTACCGATTCCTTTTTATACAGTTACTAACTACAGTATGTATACAGTGTTTGACATGGTTTGAATAAGTTTTTTATCGGTGCCAAGTAAAATTTGTTTTGATCTATTGTCTAAAAAGCATCACTCGCAGCTCTGGAAAAGAGAGGGAGGGGCTAAATACAAAATATTAGCCTCGGGTATTTATTAGTTTCCAAAATGTTAATGAGGAACTTTCGCATAATACATTAAATCCTGCCTACGCAAACATAAATAATCCAACAATCTTCACTGTAGAAATTGTCGTTGCTGACTGTTAAATACTTAGATCAGGGGTGTCGAACTGGGAGCGGGAAACTCTATAATGACTTTTCCCTCACGTAGAGTTACCCTCTCCATATCTATTTTTGCCTATTGTATTAATCATTATATAGGGCTGCTCAGTAAATACCTACAAAATGTCGGACAGTTCCTAGAATAGAGTTAATAGGGAAATAACAGCTGGTTGAAGTCACTAGCTTGAGAGCAACCAGCTCGACACCCCTGCTGTATAGTAACAAATGTACTGTTTCGAGGTTATGTGTTCAAATCTTATGACCAAGAAAATTTCTTACTTTTTAAATTCCATATTTCTTTCTTTCTTTTACTCTAAAAGTTTTTATTTCCTGTTTTTCTTATTATTCTTGTAAAATGTTTTCTTTCGTTTTATGTTATTCTAATTATTTTATACAGCTCAAAATGTTACTATGTAATAAACGATTGTATCGCTGAATCCTTGTAAACTTTTAAGTAAATGATAATACTTATTCAAAAATAATAAAAAAATTTAGTTTGTAAGATTTTGATTAACTGACAGTAATTGATTACTATAATATATTCGTGTAATTTTCATTTTCGCAAAAGTAATATATTTAACTTTATTAATTACTATTAGGTGTGCCATGAAAATGAATCTGTCTTCAAATTTTATCTTTGTTTTTGTAAATATCTAATTTATTTTTCAAGAATGGAAGAGCAATGTATTAAATAAAGAAAATATAAACCTATGGTATAAGATCAAAACTGTTATACAAGATTGCAATCACGTTATTGTATTTACTTTGGAATCTTCAAAAAAGTTGTGTTTATACTGGAAGGAAGTTCTATGTACATATATAAGGACATACCTCACAATATAAATTTTATATTTGCATTATTTTTTAAGAATAATGTACCTTATAGGAATTCACTAATAAAATAATTTTCAAAATAAATATCTTTCAATAACATTATTCATATACAATATGTATCTAATACAAAATATTCATTTTTTTCACTATACTTGCAAATTAAGAAAAAAACGAAATACTT